AAAATGAGAGGCCAGAATACCAGTTTAAGTAGTTTACGATTGATTAGAACCATTTTCAGTTGATAATTGACTTAACTTCGCTCGCTAATTGTGTTCTAAAAGTAATTTGACTTTCAGATGACTTGCACTAAAAACGTTAAGAATTCAAACGACGTCAGCAGAATGTGGCGTGATTGTACGCGCGTCCTAGTTTCCAACGAATTTTCCGTCCTCTCGTTAAACAAAAATTCCCAATAAACCGATAATTGTTTTGCCAATTTTGTCCAAAGCAAAACAAATTTATCCAAACAAATACCAGATATCCAGGGATTAAGTCTTTACCCAACAAAATGTACCAAGTTGTTCTTTCTTATCCAAGGTTTAAACGATCAAATTTAATAATTTTGTAGAGCGCGGTTTTACGTGCACGCGCACCAACGCGTAATACGCGTCATTTCCGACGCGTAAATATTTGTGTGAAAGTAAAGGATCTGCGGCGGTGAGTGATCTTTATACATGATTTTAACAGATGACAATGTCTTTCCATTGCTTTCCTTATGGTAAAAGTAAATAAGAATTTTGATGTAAAATCGAGGTAAAATTACAACAAGGCCGGATCACATAGTTGCAAAAAGTGTTTTTTCACCTGATTTATCTGAATTTTTCGAACTGAACGTTTTTAAAACCGTATTTTTTGAAATTCGAAGTGTCTAGACCGTCGGAAATGGCATTTTTAGACTTTCCTACCCAATATTTTAGTATTGCCTAACAATGGAGATAAGTATTGCTACTTTCAGTTTAATGGGAAATTGAGAGAATTTTGGAAATTTGGAGTCTCCAGATCGTCAGAAAGGGTATTTCGCAATTGTCCCCCTGCCAGGGGCGGCGGAACAGGGGGGCTAGGGGGGCTAAAGCCCCCCCAGAAGTAAAAGTGGGGGGCTTAGCCCCCCCAGAAAATTTGACTTTTTGGAAAAAATTTTGATAATTAGGGAAAAATTTAGGTTATTTTTTGAAAATTTAGGTATAAGGGGACAAATTTGCAATATTTTGTTTAAAAAAAGTGTATTTCCGAAAAATTTTTTTGATATAAGTCCCATATCCCAGAACGAAATCTGTTCCGCCGCCGCTGCCCCCTGCCACAACACATCTCAACGTCTGTAGTTTGTTTGATTGTTAATTCAGATTATAGAGTTCACTTTTTATGCCCTAAGAATTTCCTGAATTTAACTGAAAATCTACAGGAAATCTACCTGAAATTGTTCATGATCAATATTGGGGGTGTTGCACCCTCCCTCTCTCCCTCCCCCGGTCGCTACGGCCCTGAGAATTTAGAAATTAAATCTGTAGATTTCAGAAGAAACAGCATATACTGGCGTTTAACTTTTGAGAATCTTGATGGAAAGACAGCCATATGTACATTTACGACATAGATAACATACGAATATATCTAATTATGAGCGTATATATGCAAGTTTAAATATCATTTTCGTGGCGTGGTTATCCTCCGTCCAACGTTTTTAGTACGGGATTAAATGTTTCGGAGATTCCTTAAAAAAATCTTCAAAAACCTAAATTCCTTAAAAAATCCTTAAAACTCTTCAAAATTCCTACCCTTAAGGATAATTCCTTAAAAGTAAGAGCACTGTCCCTAACCTCTAACCGCTAACCCCTAACGCATTCCCTCCGACTTCCCCTCTATCCTCCAAGCTAAGCCAATTACATTTATAACTAAAACTTTTGTCTAATGTTTGTGGTTTTGCCATCTGTTACAACGCAATACTTTATTACATACAGTGGCATTACAACGCCACTAGAAGTTTGTTGGTTACAACGTGCGGAACGGGTGACAATTTAGACTAATTTCCTCTATTCCAATATTTGCCGCGGCTATAGTTTGGTGCAGTTTATCAGTCTCTTTGGGGTCCATATGGGGGTCCATAAGGGGGTCCATAAGGGGGTCCATAAGGGGGTCCATAGAGGGGTCCATAAGGGGGTCCAAAAGTGGGGGTCCAGGTTTTGTACCGACCCCTCTGAGTGCATATCCACACCGGGCTATTCCAAAGGTCGTAGGTTCGATTCCCACCGTGGTCAGGCATATTTTTCAACCTTGCCCGGTGTGGATATACACTCAGAGTAACATCACAAGCACTATATATAACTGTCAAAATATTGCCATGCCGAAGAATCTGTATAAACGCAGTAGTTGTTTATATAATAAAACAGTTATATTCTACTCACTCTCGTTGTATACGACTGATAGTCTCTCGGCACCTCATCCGCTTTCAGCTCATCATATACGACTCGAGTTCGTAGAATTTACTCTACTCTCGTTTGTGTTACAATGTTGTTTGCATCATGCATAAGAACGCTTAAAATGCCGTCGGAGTGATACTTACTTGCCGCCAATGAACGGCTTTTTCGCCGACCTAAAGTGAAACTGGACTAAAAGCTGCTGTTTTCGAATTTTAATCAGATATTAAAATATAAAAATCACTCTGTTGTTATTATCGTCTTATCTCAGTCAAATGTTCAGTCACAGAAATTTAGATTCCATTGATTTTGAAAAGCAAATTAATATAAACTAAGCCATTAATAAATAATGTTTACTTTTTATTTTTATTTGTTACAAATCAATGTTGACAGCATAACAAAAACTTAAATGTTTTCCTATAGTTCGTCAAGCGATAGTAGTACACAAAGGAATTTATGACAACGTTGGAATAAAACAAAAAATAAAGGCACATGTGAACATGTTCTTTGATAGTGTTACCGTAACCGTGACCTTTGTTCACTAAATCAAATATCAAGAGCGGTGAAAGTGTCAAGACAAAAAGAAAAGTGATATACATTATTGTGTGAAGAAAACGTTCTTGTTTGCAAAGGCTTCGCTTTCGTGTTCCCGTTGTCGTTTCTTCGGCCGGCGACGTGTTTCCACATTGTGAATTCAAATATTTCGCTTCTTTCTTCAAATGATAAATCGTTTTAGCATAAAGCAAGCACGAAATAAATATCATACCAATTCCACTGAAAAGTCGAAAACCGGCGACAGCTTTTTCGAGATTATTTTTCAAAGCAATATTCAGGAATGCGAACAGCCATTGAAAGATTATAATCACCATTGCTTTCTTCCCATTCATAAATACTCGGTATTTAAAAGGAGAACAACCGATAAAACAGCGGTCCAATGCCAGGAAGAAAATACTCACAAAAGAAATATACAGAGGAGCCGTGAATAAACGAGAAACAATGAATCCATCAGTACATGTCCGCCAATAGTACTTCACAAACTTGTAAAAACATAATAAAAGATCTGATAACGTGTTATTCATTATAAGATACGACGAACAATTTCTGAAGCATCTAAGAGGATCTTTCGCAAGTCCATACAGCAAAATAGCGTTACATAAAATTCCAGCCAAAAGTGAAAATTGGCAGCAAACAACATAAGCCTTTTTATCAGAATGTGGGTTTAAACAAGTTTTAGTTATATTCATTTTACGTTTTAATGAAACGAGTGTGTGCTCAACACCTCTAATTAAGCCGAAGAAAACAAATAAATCATCGCTTCTTTGACTTTCTAATCGAAGTCGTGGTTGATTAAGATCTAATGCAATATAGATAGCCCGATGACAAGTTATTAATTTTATATCTTGCTGTGAAGCTGTTAAATAAAATAAACAGGAATAGATTCTGGACTGTTAACTGCACAGTACAGAAATATAATAAATAAATAGGACCACATGCAGGCTTAAAAATTGAGTATTTTAAATTATTCGTCAGAACAAAATAGGGCGAAGACCAGAACCGTCAAGACGAACTATCTGGATATAGTCCATTTCTGCGACGATGTAGGCTATAGGTTTAATCTAAAATTAAACGACAAATACCTCGCAAAACGTTTTAAAATGTTCATAAAACAAAACTGCCTTTTATCGATAAACTTTGTAGGCTGTAAATGTTGCCAGTTTAAAATAAAATAATTTCAAATTATGCAATTCTCGCATGAAAATAACTTTGCTCCTCTCTTTACTTAAAGATTTTTAATAATCCAAAATAACATAAACGGGCATTTTATGCAACATCAGTTTTTTAAAGCAAACAATACATCAATATTTAAAACAAACTTGCCTTATAGGTTTTACAATTTTCAGCAGTCTATTGTCCCACTGTTTGGTCGGTTGTTTCATTAACGACTTTTCGAGTTTCAGAACAACGTTTTTTCCTTTTTCCACACGTAAGTCACGCATACTTGTTTCACTCCTGAAATTCGCCATATTTTTGAGATCAGTGAGGAGGTTCACCCATGCATGACAATGCCAGGGAGAAAGAGCGAAGATAAAAACATGGACAGAATATGGTTACTTGGAAAAATTCAGAAGCAAAAACCTTTTAAGAAGTATGCAACAAACACTTGTTTTGTCTATAAAAACCCTAAAAATTCAAGTTTCAGCAATGTCCGATTATACCGATTTAAGAAATAAGCATGCAGTGGCCATCAGTGTTTTCTCAGGCATGTGGATTGCAAATCTAACTGCTAAAATATCAGTGCCATGGCGAAGAGTCTGTAAACGCAGTATAGTTGTCTATATAATATAAAACAGTTATTCTACTCACTCTCGTTGTATACGACTGATAGCCGACTCGGCACCTCGTCCGCTTTCAGCTCATCATGCATATACGACTCGAGTTCGTATAGAACAACTGCATGTTATTTACTCTACTTTAGTTTGTGTTACGACGTTGTTTACATGTATACGAATGTTTTTTACAACACTGAAAATGCCGTCGGAGTGATACATATACAGTATACATGCCGCCATTGAACGGCTTTTGAAGTGAAACTAAAAACAGCTGTTTTCGACTTTTAATATATTAAAATCTAAAAATCATTCTGTGGTTATCGTTCTATCTAAGTCAAATATTGTTTACAGGAATTTAAATCCACCGTTTTTAAATGTTTCAGTGTTGTAAACAACAATTAGGCTAGACAGCTGCGGTTGAGAGAAATACAAGTACAACAATCTAAAAATATAAGCAGAACTTCGACTTGGCCCTTCTACTTCCCGTCAAATCGAACCGAGAACTCACAGTTTACAAACGTACTTTAATTAAACTGATTTTGAAAAACACTATAAACTAAGCCATTAATAAATGTTTATTTTTGACTTTCATTTGTTACGGATCAATGTTGACATGAGCATAGCAAAAACTTAAATGTTTTCCTATAGTTCGTTAACCGATAGTAGTACACAAATGAATTTATGACAAAGTTGGAATAAAACAAAAAATAAAAGCACATATGAACATGTTCTTTGATAGTGTTATCGTAATCGTGATTTTTGTTGACTAAATCAAATATCAAGAGCGGTGAAAGTGTCAAGACGAAAACACAAGTGCATGATATACATTATTGTGTGAAGAAAACGTTCTTGCTTGCAAATGCTTCGCTTTCGTGTTTTTTGCGTTGTCGTTTCTCCAGCTGGCGATGTGTTTCCACTTTGTGAATACAAATATTTCGCCTCATTCCTCAAGTGATAAATCGTTTTGAAATAAAACAAGCACGAACAAAGTGTTTATATAACAATTGTGCCCGAAAGCCGAAAACCGGCGACAGCGTTTTCGAGATCGTTTTTGAAAGCTATATTCAGGAATGCGAACAGCCATTGAAAAATTATAACCGTCATCGCCTGCTTCCCATTCGTAAATACTCGGTATTTAATTTGAAAGGATAACAAACGATAAAACAGCGGTCCAATGCCAGGAAGAAAATACTCATGCAGAAATGAAATATAAAGAGGAGCCGTGAATAAACGAGAAACAATGAATCCATCAGTACATGTCCGCCAATAATATTTCACAAACTTGTACAAACATAACAAAAGATCTGAGAACGTACTATTTCCCGGGTGTAAATAGCCTAGCGGAATTAGTCCCTCCCATCGGGCTAACGCACGGAACGGCGCTTCGCATGCAGTTCGCACTGTTTGCTCGGGGATAAATATATGCGTGTTCATTATATGCAAAATGCAGCATTTTGATTGGTTCCTGAGCGGTCGCGCTGAGAATCAGACTGAAAGCGCTCGCAAAGAAAAACTTAAAACTCTTTTCCCAGTAAAATCCTGCTAGTATAGATAAAACAAGATGGTGCGCGCTTCAGGAATTACCAAAAGTTTTGCAAACGAGAAAAAAGCAAGTATAATTCGCTTTTTATAAAAAGCAAGTTATTCATTCGCTTTTTATAAAAAGCAAGTTATTGGCTTTTTACAGCCTTAACATGCAGAAATAAAAGCACAATGAAAAACTCCCCGCAATTAATTAGTTGTTATAAAAAGCAAGTTATTCGCTTTTTACAGCCTTAACAGGAATAAAAACACAATGAAAAACTCCTCGCAATTAATTAGTTGTTTACAGGTTAACAATGCCGGAGAAAGAGCCAAGAGAAAAACACGTACAGAATATGTTTACTTGGAAAAATTTAAAAGCAAAAACCTTTTTAGAAGTCAATAAGCACTTTTTTTACCTAAAAAACCTTAAAAATTCAGCTTAAAAATTCAGCAATGTTCGAGTACTGACTGATTTAAGAAATAAGCATGCAGCCGCCAGCAGTGTTTTCTCAGGTTTATAGGCCAAGTTGTGTGGATTGCCAAACTATAACTGTCAAAATATTGCCATGCCGAAGAATCTGTAAACGCAGCAGTTGTTTATATAATAAAACAGTTATATTCTACTCACTCTCGTTGACGTTGTATATTCAGCTCATCATATACGACTCGAGTTGGTAGAATTACTCTACTCTTGTTTGTGTTTATACATCATGTATAAGAGCGCTTAAAATGCCGTCAGAGTGATACTTAAGCCTGTTCTCCACCAGCGAGTTTTGTCGCGCGAAGCGACCTTTCCTTTGTCGGCATTTCCATTTTGGCACGTCTTGCTGACGTAATAAATGATACCGACAAAAGAAAAAGGTCGCTTCGCGCGACGAAATTCGGTAGTGGAAACAGGCTTTACTTGCCACCATTGCATGAACGGCTTTTTCGGCGACCTAAAGTGAAACTGGACTAAAAACTGCTGTTTTAGACTTTTAATATATTAAAATATAAAAATCATTCTGTTGTTATCGTCTTATCTCAGTCAAATATTCAATCACAGAAATTTAAATTCCATTGATTTTGAAAAACACTTTGATATAAAACTAAACCATTAATAAATAATGTTTATTTTTTATTTTCATTTGTTACAGATCAATGTTGACAACATAGCAAAGACTTAAATGTTTTCCTATAGTTCGTCAAGCGATAGTAGTACACAAAGGAATTTATGACAAAGTTGGAATAAAACAAAAAATAAAGGCACATGTGAACATGTTCTTTGATAGTGTTACCGTAACCGTGATTTTTGTTCACTAAATCAAATATCAAGAGCGGTGAAAGTGTCAAGACAAAAAGAAAAGTGATATACATTATTGTGTGAAGAAAACGTTCTTGTTTGCAAAGGCTTCGTTTTCGTGTTTCCGTTGTCGTTTCTTCGGCCGGCGACGTGTTTCCACATTGTGAATTCAAATATTTCGCTTCTTTCTTCAAGTGATAAATCGTTTTAGCATAAAGCAAGCACGAAATAAGTATCATACCAATTCCACTGAAAAGTCGAAAACCGGCGACAGCTTTTTCGAGATCATTTTTCAAAGCAATATTCAGGAATGCGAACAGCCATTGAAAGATTATAACCGCCACTGCTTTCTTCCCATTCATAAATACTCGGTATTTAAAAGGATAACAACCGATAAAACAGCGGTCCAATGCGAGGAAGAAAATACTCACAAAAGAAATATACAGAGGAGCTGTGAATAAACGAGAAACAATGAATCCATCAGTACATGTCCGCCAATAGTACTTCACAAACTTGTACAAACATAATAAAAGATCTGAGAACGTGTTATTCATTATGAGATACGATGAACAATTTCTGAAGCATCTTAGAGGATCTTTCGCAAGTCCATACAGCAAAATAGCGTTACATAAAATTCCAGCCAAAAGTGAAATTTGACAGCAAACAGCATAAGCCTTTTTATCAGAATGTGGATTTAAACACGTTGTAGTTATATTCATTGTAGTTTTTTTTCATTTTTATGAAACAAGTGTGAACATCATGCATGTGCGCATAACAACCTCGCAGCGAAAATAATAAGTAAACAAGCGAGTCATGATTTGTTGATTTTTAAGTCATTCCCAAGTGTCACACAGCGTTTCCTTCTTTTAATTAATTAAGAAATGAATTAACACACATGTAGCAGCCCCATTGATGTAAAGCAATAAAAGCTGTCGGATGACAAAACAGGAATAAATTCTGAACTCTGAACTGAACTATTTGAACATGCATGAGTTTTTCATGCTGATATGGTTTGGCGTGATCAGCCTGGTTTAAACAACGTTTTACTACAAGAATTTCTGTACAAAATGCACTCAAAGGAGAAATACCAGAGCATTTTGAGTGTTTTAGATTCACATTAAGTCAGTCTCATGGTTACAATACAAGAAATGGTGGACCATGCAGTTACCCAGATTACCGAAGCAACGGACTGAATGAAGAGGATGATCTTTTACCAAGTATGCACCAAAGAATTGGGCATTACTCCCCGAATCCCTAACGAAATTGTTGCCCATTTAACTACGAAACGGGTAGCAAAAAGTACTTAAGAGTTTGAGGGTTAGATATTAAGTTTATTGATAATTTTATTAAGGGAAGCGAAATTCAGGATTTTAACAGTCCATGCATTGATACCATTTTTGTATCATTAAATGATCTCACGAATCGCACTTTTTCAATCTAGAATTCATGATTTTTAATTAAATGTGACCACTTCTGTTTTTAGCTATATTGTTAAGGAAATTAAGACACATTAATGATTAATTGCTTTTTCTCTAATTGTTTCTCTTTTTCTCTCAGTATTATGCACAAAGATGGGAAAATGTGATTTCGACCGGCAATTTAAAATCATATACAATCGCTCGTATTTCGTTGTTTTTGCTTGGAACAATACAAAAAAGTGTCATTCAAAAGCTAAAACCTAGTGTTTAATTACCACAATAAAAAAATATTGAAATCTGTGCACAGGGCCTTTCAGAGGGAGGGGGAGGGGGGGCACTGGGGCAAATTTGCCCCGGGCCCCCAGTTTAAGGGGCCCCCAAATTTGCAAAAACTGAAAAAAATAATTTCGAACGTTTTTTTTATATAAATAATGGTATGAGAAAAAATTTTCTAAACCCAAATTTTACATTTATTGCTTGAAAAAAGGATGTGACCCATGTTGTAATTAGTTTACCTAATGTTCGACCCGAAAATTTTTTTGACCCTTTTTTAATGTCCGAAAAAAAATTAGGGAAAAATAGGGCCCCCGAAACAAAAATTTTGCCCCGGGCCCCCGAATTTCTCCGATAGGCCCTGTCTGTGCATTTAATATTGAGCGCACAAGAGCACTCAGCTAGTTGTTTATAAAATTGAACTATCAAGTGATGCATGGCGTCTATTGCAAACGACTAAATACATTCCCCTGGAATACTTCCCCATTGTTAACAATGACTCGTTGAGTCCAGTTTTCCAGAATTCTGTTCAGAGTTCATGTTTTGAATTGTGCTTAACCATCCGATCCAGCTGCAGAAATCTCTGGTTGTAATTAAGACGGAAGATTTTGTATGTTACGTTAACACGCGCTCAAAACTAATGCGTATATAATATATCACTTGAGGTTATGACTAAATTCAAAATTTTTATTTTTCGAAACGTTTCGCAATCGGCAAACAAACTTAAAAAATATATTTAGTGCTTTATCTATAAAATAATGCTAAAATGAAGAGATTTTAAACGGTACGCCAAAGAGAAAATGATGTCTGAAGTTCAGTAAGTTTTGCTTATATGGCTGTAAATATGGCGTCAGTTTTAAAGCATCAGTGATAATTGTATTTTAATTGACAATTTTTAACTATTATTTTATGTTTCTCAACCGGCAGACGCATTTACTGAGGTAGTAAACTGTATAAACTAGAGAATAAAGCTAAAACAAAGTAATTTTGAGAGGAACGCCAAAAAGATTGTAAGTTTTGAACACTTTTCATTGTAAATACGTGACATTGAAAAAAATTGCTTCTTACAAAAAAAAACGAAATAATATTTTGCTTGTGCAATTAATAATTAACAATTATACGCCGAAGGCGAGGTGATTATCGGGGAATATTCGCCGAGATGAAGGCGAGGTGAATATTCCCCGATAATCACCGAGCCTGAGGTACTGAATTTATTTTAATTTCGCTTATTTCTTTATCAGTAAACTTCCACAAAACGGCTAGCCGCCATTTTGAAAATTTCAGTTTTGTTATATTCACCTATAGGTGAATATAACAGCTTAATAGTTCAAATTTGACCAATGAACGTGTAGGATTTATTATGTTCACTTGTGCAAAAATACTAATTAATAATATCCTGAGTGTTCAAAATTGTAGTAGATCAAGCATTTATTAACAGAGTTGATTTTTACACATAGTTTTGCTTACAGTTTTCTCAATCTCACTTATATTCAACTCAGTTCGTCTTCTAAACTCCAGTCCAATCTATATGTTGTGCCGCGACAAAACCATTGACAAAACCTAAATATCAGAAAAACGTTTTCAGTTAAAAAATATAATTAAAAATATAAGATCCATATTAAAAGAGGATGTCCACATTATTATTGCATTCTTGCCCCAGATGTTTCCTGCAGATGCTACTGAATTGCTAAACAATTTTATATTAAAAATCAAAATAGATCAGGTTTCGTTGTTTATGAAAACGTTTGGCAGAGTGCTCAATGGATGTCCAGAGCTAAATTGAAGTACGACGAGTCGACGACTCGATAAATTCCACTACGCATGTTTATTACTATTTAGTTTCGTACCACAAGATGTGGCACTCATCAGACTGAACTTTTTCAAATCACGTAAATGTGATTATTCACAATTAATCTTTTTTGACTCCACAGAATTTTTAAAAAGAGGATCGAGTATACTAAAATAAATTATTTTATGAAATAATATTTTGGGCTCACCGTTGTCGTTTACGAACTGTTAAATTACTTTAAAGCGAAAATATCCGCCATATATTGAAACGTCATTAGATCAACATGTCAAACCCTTGCTGTTGTTTTGTACCAGTAAGATACTTTTTGTTTTTCAACAATAATAATTATCCTAAAATACGGATATTGTGAATTTTCCATTTTAAAAGCTGTATTGAGCCACCTTAATATGATTTCTTTTTAAGTTGGTTTAGTTTAATCTAATAACTGTATATTACAATAAGGTCTTTAGTAGTAAGGTCTTTATATATAATATACTTTGAGGTTTTAACATTAAACCCTAAACTTTGCTGCACTGTATCATATTATATCCACATGGAATACACAATATAATCGGATAGCACTCCTGCCCTTACTTTCGCGCGCCCTTTGGTGATAGGGAGCAAGTCCAGGCCATATAGGGACGCATATACGCATTTAGCAAGAGGACGCCAAAATGAGGATGACGGCCAAACACACTCTTTGAAATATGTATGTGATTGTATATGGAAATCATGTCTGGTATTTACCACCGTATGAATTTAATACCGTTTCATAAGGTTAGGTGGGCTTTACTAGGACAAAACAATTCTAATCAACTGTCAGAAAAACTGCCTGCCACGGCTTGAAATGCTATAACATATGTGCAAATATATATTTTGCATTTGTCAACAGAGTCTGGACAACGCGTTGTTTGAAACTTCCAGCAGACTTTTTAATTTCTTTGTGATATATGATGAATTTCGTTGTGTTTGGTAGTGGTTGTCGTTGCATTGGCGTCCTCCAAGCGTATGCCCCCTAATGATACGAGACTGGACTCGCTATTGCTTCGTGTACACTCAAGCAAATTCGCTAAGTGATTGAAAAACTCAAATGCCTAACGGCTTCAGATCTTAATATTGTGTACTTCAAAAGTAGTGTACAAGGTAACAAAGATTAGAATTTTGTGCTATAACCACTGTTGACTGATCTTACTTGTCCATTCAGTCGAAAGTGGGTTCTATAAAATAATTTCACTCATTCCCACTAACCGTTGCTGCGTTTAACAACGATATGATCATGAAAGCTTAAATAACGATGCCTTAAAGATCGCAAGACATTCATTAAATAGAGAATACACATGGTATAAATATTAATATATGCAGCGCCCGTCTGCCAGAGTTAAAAAGGGCAAAAAGCTCTTCTTTTAGACAGTTTTTGTTGTATATATATACATCATGATATTAAAATATTTTTTCTCCTAACGATTTATAGCAATCTAGCTTTCAACGGGTGCTCCCACATTGAGTCCATCATTCTTTCCTCCTGGATCTGCCGTGAACTCATGCCTCTGAATTTGCCCTGGTTTCCAAACTCCCCTCGCTTTCCCCTCTTCCTTCGCTCCCGGGTCGTTCTCAACAGCTCGGCGCGGTTGCTCAACGAATCCGGAATGCAATCATAACAGATCTTCAAGAATTTATACGTATTCTTACACGTGTTATCGTCGAAGAAGACGTTGGAGGCGACAACCTCACAAGCTTGGTCATGGCGACACTGTTGTTCAACTTTATCGAAAGCGTTTTCTTCATCAGCATCGCAACCATCGCCGCTAAGACCAGGTGGAATCTTGGGACACATTTTCTCGTTATCTCGCCCCCAGTATACTCGCTTAACCCGCAGCAGTTCAAACTGCTGGCATTGTAACCACGCTTTCTCGCCTTCGCATAGATACATACAACTCTGAAATAATAAGGAAATACGACTTGAGAATGTAACCCATTATTAGACACGATATTGCAAATAAAATATACAACAATACAACATCTGAATAAGAATATTAAAATTTTGGTTTTCTTTTGTTTCTCTAGACGTTTACCAGCGTTTTTGGTAATAGTCGTATCTAATGATTGGTCTTCACTGTTATTTCAATTTATAAGCTTTATATTCTTGGGTTTCACTACGGCATTATGCAGTGAATCTGACGGGGGGGTCAACCTCAAATGTATTGACGCTTATGCTGTACTGGTGTGAGAAAATGATACAAAATTCCATGTATTTGCCACCAAACACAAGGCTAATACATAAAACGAACAATCGACTCACTCTGATAACTGTGATTTCTTTTAGAGTTGACCGCGCCCGTCAATTTTGTGACGTATATGAAATCCAAGAATATGCGCATAGAGTTCTAACCCGGCATCAAACTATGGTGTTTGCGTCCCACAAACTGACGAGGTTCATTAAATTAAGTTCATATGGAGCTGGGCTGGCACGGTCGATCGGGATGAGTTGTTTAATAAAGTTCTTATCACGGCTTTGATTAACATCCAAAGTTGAATTTGCTTCATTTGATTCCATGCAGTAACAGTGTATACAGTTCATTTAAACGACCGTTTATGGTCTGGCCCCTAAGCAAACAAACTTGGCACACCATGAAATATCTGAAGAAATCTTAAAAATACTTAGATTTATGCCAAAGTTGGCAAAAGAGGTGGTGTCTATGTTTTGGCTCAATCATATTTTTTGCTTGCATATGGGCTTTCCCAGTCTTCTGTACTAATTTTTTAGACTTTAAAATGTGAAATATAAAATAATGAAAGTTATTTTTTAACGGTCAGGTATCCGTGAAAGAAAGACCTCGGGCACAGTTTCTCGTCACCGGTAAATAACATACATGTTTGGCAGCCATTTTTACGCCGGCCATACCATTGCCTCTTTTCCTATGTGGTAGACACAAAAATATAGACAGTACAAAATCTACTTACTGGAAGATCCGTTCCCGGTCCCGCGGGTCCAGTAGTTCCAGGTTTTCCTCTGCCACCAGGTACACCAGGTTCTCCTGGTAAGCCGTGAAGGCCAAGAATACCCTGCCTACCTTTATCACCTGATGGTCCTCGGTCTCCTTTGAGACCTGGTGGTCCAAGATCTCCAGGTTCGCCTGACGCGCCCTCTTCACCCACAGACCCAAGAGGTCCATTTGGACCGTCGGGACCAACATCGCCAGCCCTTCCGGAAGGACCCTGTGAGCCCTGTGGGCCAGGCCGTCCTGTTAGACCGCCATAGAATAGAGTCAGATTCTGTTCCATTAATTGAGCGATCATAAAATGATCTAACATCTCTTGGGTGACTTCATCGCCATATTTTGGCCATTTGAATGAATTGTCTTCAGATTCTTCGTTCTGAAAGGAAAGTATAAAGTTTAAAATATCTAAAATTTCAAGCAACGTACTTGCAAATAAGAATTTTTTTGTTTTCTATTATTGATACCAACAAAATTGAAGAAACAGGTTACGTATCGGTCCGAGAAAAAAAACACACAATTTGACAATAGGCTGTTGTCGTTTAAATGACTATTTGTTTAAAATAAATTGCATAACATCTCCTTTTTGTGATTGTAATACATAGAATGAATAATCATTACTTCATTATTTGCTAATGTCCCCGATATGCTACTCTAAGGTATAACCTACTCTCGAGTGCTGCACAAACCCATGGTGATGACTGGTACTTGTTGTCAGTCAGAATCACGAAAAGTAAACATATTTCTATGTGGAATAACAAAGTTAAATTATTCTGAAAACCAGTATATTTTTAAATGGGTTCAACAATATATAAAAGGAACTAAACGCTTTTCTTAGCTTAATTTGTAAGTTACTAGCAAGTCAGTTCGAGTGCCGCTTATTCCTGCAGAATTTTATTTCCTTTTTCTTATTGGTTGTTGCGTGTCGTATTCTTAATATAGATGTGCGTGTATAATATTGTTATATTATTGCTTATGTATTGAGTGTGCAACGAAACTTATGTAAATGTTGTGTGAGCCCCTTTTATGAGTCCTGATGTTCTTGGGCAAATGCAAATTCAATAAAATATGTTTATAAAAAAAAAACAATTACAGTGTTCTTTAATGCAGCGAGGGTTTGAATCGTAATATACAGTTTCTGATTATAATACTACTTCGCAAGTGAGACTGCAAGAACTAGAATATGTAGAATGGTTTTGTAGATGGAAATTCGAGTGTGAATTTTATACATTTATTAAACCTAACCAGGAACAGTTGCAAAAAATGCAACAATTATCTAATTCATCGAATTTATCGGGTATTTAAAGTTTAAATGGCCTTCAAAAGTAACAAAAGTAAAATTCAAAATTGGACGCGCAGATGAAACTCTGAATTGGCTTATTGCAGGAATCAAACTACACGCGTAAAAACGCACAGCTTGTAACAATTTAAGTCTGCAAACAAATTGTTACAAGTCTGTTCACAAACTGTCAACAAGTTGTGTTCGCACTGCTTGTTCCCAGTTTGTTGTAACAAGTTTGGAACAAGCTGTTAACAACTTGTAACAAGCTTGATGGCATTATCAGCCTTGTCACAAGACTATGCTAACAAGTTTGTTACAGCCATGATATAACAAGGATGTTACAAGGTTGTCAACACAAGGTTGTAACAATCTTGTTATACCAAGCATGTAACGGATTTGTCAGAACAACCTTGCAACAATGATAATTTCGACAAGGTTGTTACAAGTTTTCAACAAGTTGCTCCAAACCTGTTGACAACTTGTCACAAGCAGTGCGAATGCATCTTGTTGACGGCTTGTTTGCAGACTTGTTACAAGATGTGAGATTTTTGCATGTGTAGTAGTAAAAGGAAGCATACACTAACCATGCGCCATGAACGTCCTATCACCAGTAGATCTATATTTCAACCTACCGACTCATCTTTGTCGTTATCCGCAAGATCAGCAGATCCAAACTCAATATTCCCAGACCCCGAAGAATCATCATCGTCATCGTCAGCATCCTCGACTTCCACATCAGGTTTTTCGGTTGTGTCGCTTTTTCTTTCTCCTTCCTTGGACTTGCCATCATCAGCTGCAACTAGGTTGTTCTTTGCAAGTTCTTCTGTGAACAGGTCGCCTTTCCTGCCGTGATCGAGCTCAGAGGCATGAGATACTCCGGAATTGGTGATAAAGTTCACCCTTGATTCACCTTAAAAATTAGTAGGAACAGGTTATTAGGATACAATGGTTGGAACAACAAATGTGGCGTATTTTGGGTGGAAAATGTCCGAAGCATATCATTGGTTTAGATTATCATACATTATTCAACTGAATCTGGTAAAAAAATACGCCCACACTTTAATAGCTATGAACAGGATATTGCGTAAAACTTTATGGCAATAATGTGAACTCAACACGTTCCCTCAAAAAATGTGTTGAATATGTTTAGGTAAACCAGTCGGATATAAAACAACATTGGCATGGATGATAGAAAGTAGTTTAGAAACTTATGTACGGAAAGCTAAATAGATAACTTATGCTTTACAATGCCTTAAGGATTGTAGTCCATTTATGCAGGTCAAAAAAGCAGGACAAAGTTTTATAAATTAGAAAAAAATTGGATCGATTCGTCTTGATGGATTGTTCGATTAATCATTGCCATCAATTAAGTCACCTAATTTTTATATGATCGATGCTGTTGGATTTTATTTGAGTAATCATGCTGACAGATAACAAGTTGAAACGATTACCTGATAAAAGAAAATAGAACTCCGATTTATGCTAAATTAGTAAAATTACAGAGTCCAAATACCTGAAGATGATCCTTTTCCGTCGCTATCGTCCTCATCAGATGCCTCGTTCTCTCCAAAACCAAAACTTCCAGGGAGCTTCTCGTTATCTGATTTCACTTTCAGATTAATCTTCTTTGGTGCGGCGGTCACGTGCGACTTTCTCGCAAGCATTTCAGCTTTTCTTCTGGCTTCAACAACACTGCTTGAGGAAGCCAGCGAATCTGCAACAGCTCGTTCACCTGTCTCGTCTGCCTTGCCATTGTCGCTGACGTCCGTGCCGGATCCAGATTTCACTTTCTCGGAATCGTCCTGAGATTCATCGTCTGATTTGTCCCCATTGGTTGTCAGGGAACCTTTTAGGAAACCCGGACTTACTTCAATGTCGCTTGGTTTGGAAGGTTCTTTCTTGCCTGATGAGGTGTCGCCGCTATTACTCTCATCAACGGTATCATCTTCATCACTTTCATCATCATTGTCGTTTTCAGTAGTTGTTTTATCATTATGTTTGATGTCTTCCGTTGATTTATCATCCTTTAGTGATTCAGTTTTATCTTCTTTGACTGATTTATCGTCTGCTTCATCTGATGATGAAGAATCCTTATCAGCTTGTTCACTTGAGGATGAAGAGTCGTCCTTATCAGTTGCTTCGTCCGAGGACGAAGAAGCGTCCTTATCAGCTTGTTCACTTGAGGATGAAGAGTCGTCCTTATCAGTTGCTTCGTCCGAGGATGAAGAATCGCCCTTATCAGCTTGTTCACTTGAGGATGAAGAGTCGTCCTTATCAGTTGCTTCGTCCGAGGATGAAGAATCGTCCTTATCAGCTTGTTCACTTGAGGATGAAGAGTCGTCCTTATCAGTTGCTTCGTCCGAGGATGAAGAATCGTGCTTATCATCTGAATCAATCTTCTCTTTCTCGGCATCGTTATGCTTGCTTTTCACTTTGGACTCTTCTTTTACCTCTTGGGCAGCATCGTCTTTCTTACTGTCAGTAGCATCACTCTTTTTCGTATCAGCCGCCACTTTCTTATCTTTTTCGTCCTTGTTCTTGTCGGCTTCGTCGTCACTTTTCTTGCCAGTGGCATCATTTTTGCTACTATTAGTGACGTCATCTTTCTTCTTTTCAGTAACGTTATCCTTGCTAACGGTTTTGACGTCATCGTTATGCTTTTCCGTGCCGTCCTTATCCTTCGTTTGCGTTACGTCATTTTTAGTATCAGCCGTGATATTATCTTTCTTCTTTTCTGTTTGCTCATCCACTTTCTTTTCAGATTCTTTGCTATCACCACTGACATTATCCTTTTCATTTTTGCTGACGTCATCTTTGTCATTCGCTGCAATATTATCCTTTACTTTGCCTGTATCACTATCTTCATCATCACTTTTTGTAGTACTAGCTTCCTCGTTTTCTCTGACGGTGTTCTTTGCAGTTCCTTTTACGGCATCTTTATTATCTTTGCTTTCTACCGAAGAGTCCTTCTCGTTATTTGCAGTAGTCTCGCCGTCAGTTTTCAATTCAGTGGCATCCTTATCTTTGTTAGCACTCGTTGTTCCGTCATCTTTTTTATTCGCTTTCTCGTCAGTTTTGTCGCTTTCCGAGTCAACTTTATATTCTTTTACATCACTAGTCTTGGTTGGAGTTGGATCAACTTTGTCAGTGGATGTGATCTCTGCCTTTTTACTTTCAGCATCATCTTTCTTTTTGCCATCATCCAACTTCACATCACTGCTGGACACATTCGATTTCACATTGGACTTTTTATCGTCTTTATCATCATCATCATCACCATCATCATCATTCTCACCATCATTATCGTCACTGTCATCATCATCCCTAGCATTGTTATCCTTCGATGATCCTTCCGTGTCTTTATCGGAATCATACTTAAATCCTGATGCATCACCATCTTTCGATCCAGCAGAGCCTTCAGAAATTTTCAAGGGAGCATCTGAACCTCCAGTTCCACCGGGAAGAGCTTCTTCATCCTCTTCGTCATCCTCTTCATCGTCATCATTGCCAGAAGCATTGGAGAACCAGAATACTTCTTTGGTTCAAATTCTTTCCCAGAACTACTTAACACCTCAATATTTTCACCTTCGTTCCTGTCTTTCTTCGAATCATCTTTATCTGATGAAATTTTATCTGATGAAGTTTTATCTGATGAAGTTTTATCTGACGAAGTTTTATCTGATGAAGTTTTATCTGATGAAGTTTTATCTTCGTCATCTTTCGAAACTTTGTCAGAGGAATTATCTAGATTATCGCTTGAAGGTGCCTTCTTAGAAGAATCGTCCTCAGCATCATCATGATTATCCGAGCTTTTGTCGTCTTTCGACCCCGATTGGTTATCCTTGAAATCTGATTCTTTTGAATTTGATTTATCATCTTTAGAATCAAATTTGCTATCGTTAGATTTAGAACTCGACTTTTCGTCGTTCGAACCGTTGGAATCTTTATCATCCGATTCCTTGGAATTTACAGCGTTATCATCTGATTTCTCCGCTTCTTGGCTCTTAATGTCCTTGTCTTCGCTCTTGGTGTCCTTGTCTTCGCTATTGGTGTCCTTGTCTTCACTCTTAATGTCCTTGTCTTCGCTCTTGGTGTCCTTGTCTTCACTCTTAATGTCCTTGTCTTCGCTCTTGATGTCTTTGTCTTCACTCTTAATGTCCTTGTCTTCACTCTTAATGTCCTTGTCTTCACTCTTAATGTCCTTGTCTTCGTTCTTGGTGTCCTTGTCTTCACTCTTGATGTCTTTGTCTTCACTCTTAATGTCCTTGTCTTCGCTCTTGGTGTCCTCGTCTTCACTCTTAATGTCCTTGTCTTCGCTCTTGGTGTCCTTGTCTTCACTCTTAGTGTCCTTGTCTTCGCTCTCAATGTCCTTGTCTTCGTTCTTGATGTCCTTGTCTTCACTCTTAATGTCCTTGTCTTCGCTCTTTGTGTCCTTGTCTTCACTCTTAATGTCCTTGTCTTCGCTCTTGGTGTCCTCCTCTTCACTCTTGATGTCCTTGTCTTCGCTCTTAGTTTTCTTGTCGTCTGACGTTTTGGAATCAGAGTCCTTTCCATTGGAAACATTATCATCACTTTTCTTGGAATCTGAATCCTTTTCATCAGAATATTTAGAAACGCTATTAGCATCTTCAGAACTGTTTATATCTATATTGTACACTTTGGAATCAGAACGTTTATTATCCGAAACATTTGTATCGGAGTTCTTATCATCCGAGTCTTTGGAGTCACTCTCCTTAGTATCCGTGTCTTTGGAGTTTTCGTCCTTCTCTTCTGAATTCTTCGAGTCTGTTTGATCGTCGACTTTCTTATCACCCGAATCTTCGGAATGTTTATCATCTGAATGTTTGGAATCGTGTTTCGAATCATCTTCCGTGACTTTATCATCATCTTCATCGCCAGAGTCTTTAATATTCGAATCCTTAGTTTGCGAATCCTCTGTAATCGTTTTCGCGACATCAGATTTCTTAGAATGTTTGTTCGAGTCTGAATTTTTGCCGTCGGAGCTCTCATCCTCCGAACTCTTAGTGCTCGATTCCTTTTCGTCAGATTCTTTGGCGTCAGAATTTTTATCTGACTTCTCGGAACTCGAATCTACATCATGGGAAACGTTTGAGTCTGATAATTTATTATCAGATTTCGTGGAACTGGAATCATTATTATTATCATCTTCATCATCCAAGTCATCCGAGTTCGAATCTTTAGAATCTTTATCACTGGGTTTCTTGGAGTCAGAAATGTGGGAAGTATGTGAATCCTTAGAAGCAGATTCCTTGGAAAGCGACTCTTTCGCGTCGGATTCGTCACCCTCTGGTTTCTTCGAAATTGATTTATCATCAGTGGATTCCTTCAAATCAGAATCATTACTTGAATCCTTCGATTCTTTGGAGTCAGTAGCTTCATCATCTTTCGATGTCTTCGATTTTGAATCATTTTCGCTCGTCTCTTTTGCCTCTTCGTCTTTTTCATCAGATTCTTTGTCGTCCCCTTTCTCTGCAGGTGCGTCTTTAACATTCGATTTTTTAGAAACTGGTTTATCAGAATTGCCATCAGATTCTTTGGAATCTATCGCATCTTTTTTGTCCGATTTTTCGCTGTCATTCTCATCAGAGTCATTATTATCTTCATCAGTAGAAGTCATAAAATCCGATTCCTCGGTTTTTGAAGACTTTTTATGTGAATCAATGTTGCTTTTAGAGCTGACTTTAGATCTTTTAGTTTCGTTCTCATCATCATCCTTACTGCTTTTATTATTATCGTTCGTATCATCATTATCTTTATCATCATCATCATCATCGTCGTCATCGTCATCATCGCCCTCTTCGGCATCACTTCCATTACTACCAACCAATTTCTCCTTTGTGTGCGATTTCCTTGCCGCTTTGAGCCCGGCTTCAAATGCCGCTTCATCAGGCATTAAAGGCTTCTTAGAGTCATTTGTGTCCTTAGGCACCTGTGTTTTTTTATCGCTCGGTGGCATTTCAGACATATTAGCCGATCTAGTTGAATGGCTATGAAATAGGCCATTAGTGGCCGATTTTCCATTAATGTTCAAAATTTTGTCATGTTCTTTCCCTTTTAATGATCCTAATTCATCTTCATCTGGGTCATCACGCTTCTGCATATGATGAGTTTCAGAAATATCAGTAGGAGCCAAACTTGCAAGTGCTTCTTTAATATCAAAATCGCCATTAACCCCACGTGGGAAGAGAGTCTAGAAAGAAAAGCTTCGGTCATGATTCAGCTTTGACAATGATCAAAACAAACGCACAAATTCGACAAAGAACACATATTTATACTTTCAAGAGGAAACCTACCTGGGAGAGAAACAAAATAACTGTGATCGTTAACAACGTCCAATTGCTTATTGGCTTCATTTTCTAAATATAGGAAAAAGAAATAATTTTTTTACAACTGCAAAATAATTTGTTCCTACTCCTATGTTTGTACAATCCTTTGACAATAACAATGTTGCAATCCAAAGCAATACGATATTCATTGCACGGGAGTTATCAAACTTTCACTATCAATGAAACTGTGTACTTGAAAGAAGTTTCAGTGACACATACGTTGATAAAACAAACTTCCATGGCATAAAGTTCGTATTCCACTACCGAATGCCGTTGCGCGAAACGACATTTCTGTTCTTAAATTTGATATTTTCTGACGACAGCAACTTATAACACAAAAAGAATATAGCATGTCCACGCGACAAAATTTGGGATAAAGAAGCCTTTCGATCTTATTTCCTATTTGCCACTGTACAATATCTAATATCTAATATGCAAGGTGATGCGATTGACTTTTAGAACTAGGTCTCCTCTCTAGTAACGCCAGGAAGGACGAGATATTATAGTATTAATTATATAAATGGGAAAACAATAAATTTAAAGCAAGCATCTGTAATATACTTGTATGTAAATTAATACAGTTTAGAACTAATAGAATTATCCAGTATATAAATAAAGTTATTTTAGGTTTCCTCCTGTAAGGGATTGCCCTATAATAGGACGTGGAAGAAGAATAGATACGAATTGATAAAGATAAAGTTTAGTTTAGCCTAAAGTTTATTACTATAAAATGTGTATGACGACTTACCGTTTGGAGTCTACACGACAAATATTGTCAGTGATTTCTTGACTTGTTTAAAAGTTTTCATCACCCATTAAACTACCAGGAAAATATAGAATTAAAGTAAGACTACATCACGGCCACAAAAATAATCGACACAAATAAAACCCAAGAAAAAGGCCGTTATAATAACGTTATTTTAGAGTGCAAATCAACGTATTTTATATTTCAACAGCTATAAAGCGTTTAGGTCAAGGTAGTTCGTCAAGCTTAGTGAACCGAAACATCCTCACAGACCGTGAAAAAACATAACACATTAACATATCCTGCGAACGTTATATAAAACACCTTAGCCACTTTAACAAATAATAATTTTAAGACATTCTTACCTTTCATAAGGTCTTTTGAGTGGAAAAGGAATAATTTTTTCGATGAAATAAAAAGAAAGATTTAACGACAAAAAATATTGTTTACACAATAAAAAATGACGTAATTATTCGGCAATGCACCCGACCAAGCATGACTACATTTTTGAATATGCGCAGACTGATTTTAGGCTTTAGACAAGAAGGGTATTTGACAAAATTACATTCATTGCGATTAGCTTTGACATAGCTACTAGGCACAGAAAAATTGTTTATATATATATATGTATATATTTATTGGAGGCAAAATTTATATCCGTACTTGAATTCAAATTGCATATATTCGTCGTTATTTTATTCTTAGTCTTCGTTTCAATGGCGGAAACAAGTTGAATATACAACAACTGGCTATCACAAAGTCCTAAATATTTGAGCCAGTGCTAGTTAATTTATTTACAAATAAAATCAGACAAGTTTGTATGTTTGTTAGTTAAACATATATTAAAATTTCATTTTAAATTAAAACTTATGTTACATTGTGAAACATTTGCGTTAGAAAGAAATGAGATCTGTAACAGTCTTTAGCGTGTGTAGACTAATTTTTCGGCAATTCGGGCAGGTCGTCGCCATATTGTTTAACAATTTTGCAGGTGATCAATTGTTTATTTACATTAACACGCTGATAACACCGGATCAACTCTTTATAAAATCGGGATTAAGTTTAGTCTTAGTTTAATGTGGTTTAATGCTAAATTAATTTTCAAACTTAGGCGCGGTCACTGGCCACGGTACGATCAATGTCCCATGATGCTTTCAGCACAATGATAAAAAGTATTTCATAATAATTTTACTTGGATTATACAATATTCCTATAGGAACATTATATATTGTAGATACAAATTAGAGAGTAAGATTATACAAAAGAATAACATTCCTGATCGGTTTAAAACTGTAATTATGATAATCTCGGACTGCTTTTGCGCGGTTACAGGAAGGTCTTATGTAGTAAAGTCAAATTCGGCATTGTGGTGAACTTGTAAGGGCTCGTATACAAAGAAGATTGGCAGAATTTCTACGTTGCAAATTGAATTCATGATTCGTGATCTCGTATACTATTTATTTTCCGGGAGAGATGCCCCGCCGCTAGAATTGTCACTCAGAAATTAATAAGTTGTTCCCCTCCCAAAAATAAGAACAGGATAGACAAGCTAGAATAGGCAAGACTAAAGCAACTTGAATCACCTTAAAAAATGTCTGAGCCTCTAGGAAGGTAGCCACAGGAACAACGGATAAGAAACTTAGGGAACGGACAAGAGATGCAGAGAACGAGCAAAAAGACGGTCTAGGAAATGCAGACCTTTACCAACCGTTGCCTGAGGCACATTTTAAGGATTAGATGGACAAAAAACAGAAATGACAAACAGTGGCAAAAAGGGGATAGAGGCCAGAGGAAAAACAAACCTGAGGCACAAGTAGGGATAGATCGGTCGAACTCTGAAGAAACTGACATCTGCCACCACACGCAAGGCGCTTACTAGGAACCCTCAGGACAGAGAGAAGAAAAACAACCTAAGAATAACAAGGCAAAGAATCATATTGTTTAGACCATTGAGTGCTAGCATTTTATGCATTAAATGTAAATTAAACTATTTTATTCATTTGCACCCAAACGTACAAAAAACTATGTTCCGATATAATCTCGAACGGTTGAGGCCAAAATGGTTATGGTACGTTAAGATATTTTCTTTGGGCGAATGTCATCATTATTAGTGTAATCAATATCGGGACTCGAATCTAACCGTATCACTTATAAATTGGTGGCTACGGCACTGGGTTTGTGCCAAAGTAGGCAGCGACGATAACAAGAAAGTGGCGAATTGGCAGGGAAACAACTACCTTAAAAATACAAGGAGAATTTCGAAGTTTTGAGCGAAGGCCCATTTTTTTTCAGGTAGTTGTATCCCTGCCAATCCGGAGCATTCGATGTTCCGCAATAGCATTCAGAATATGGTTTCACTTTCAGAGAGAAAAATAAATCGTTAGTTTTGGTAATAACGTCTTACTTAGCTTTTATCAACTTTTATCATAAAGTTATAAAGAGGCTGTTGGTGGAATCAATGCAGTTTAGCGCATCATATGCCATCTCCGTGTCAATTAAGGATCAATTATTGCAATCACTTCAGTTTCATGTTAAAAAAGTGTTTTTACTTTCTCTTAACCACAGGTATACTCAGGCTTGTGTCAAAAACACTGAACAAAAAAAAATGGCCTTTATACTAGACCACTGGACCTCGAGGGAGAACGTTTCGCACAGAACGAATAAGGATAGTTAATTGAAGAAAGGAATATTTTATTTTAGAAATGAAACAATTGTTACTGGGATTTAACAAGCTTTAAAATTTGAAATAAAAAATGAGGTCTGGATTGGATTCCAAGTATTCATCGCCAAAGACTGCAATCAACTATGAGTACTTGAAGTTCGATCCAATCCTAACTTGAAGTTTTGAAATGGTATGCTATTATCATTTTTCAGTCATGCGACAGAATTGGAATTTCGTAAAGTCCTGGATTAAGTATATTTGCCAGGTAACCAGTATCATCATGTGACCAAAATCAAGCAATGTGGTTGGCTATTTTCTTTATGAATTATCAAAATAAGTTTATAAGACATTGCACGAAAATGTAATCAAGATTTTCTATTTCAAACAATAAAACAAGTGCATTGAATTGTATAATTATTTGGACTATATAAATTTAGTCAAACGTTAGATTACTCTACACAATATGATTATACAACAGTAAGCCGGTTAGTGTATAATGCATGTTTACTATTAAACCATGTTATTTACATGAAATACAGATCACTGTCAATGTCTATGTATGGTACAGTTTTTAAATTACATCATAGTTCGTAGAAATGTCAGGTTATTTAACAAAAACAGACTGTCTAATGGATATTTTATAGTATTGTAACGTTTGTTTGCAAATAATGTCTACTCCAAAGGGTCTGGGATAGGCACAATTGCAAAAGCAACGTAGTTTCATGGCTGTGAATTTGTGCTCGCTTAAAAACTCGAGAAGTAGTGCTGCGCTGTGTTATACAGGAAATACCTGTTTTCATACAGGAAAAACCTGTTTGCTCGCCGTATACTGAATACAATTCAGTAGAGTATAAATATATTATAAGGACAAACAGGATGAGTTTTGGAAGTCTAACCCAAGAAGTTGGCGTTGAGTAGATTGTCCTCATTCACGACCTCGTGACCGTTGATAACTTCGATACATTTGTAATAGACTTCTAAATACTTGTACACATCATAGCACGTTGTATCACCAAAGAACGATTTCGTAGCTCTAACTTCACACATCGTGGTACCTTCGCAAGCATCTTTCACCTTCGTGAGAAATTTGGGCATGGTTGGACAATATTTGTCCGTCAACAAGCTGCCAGTGTGTTCTGTGCATAGACCAAAGTTTCGTCGTCCCCAGAAGGCTGAAATGATGCTGATGTGTTTGTATTCATTACACCTTAGCCACGCAGTATCTTCCTCACATTTCACTGTTCCGTTCTAAAAAATCAGAAAGATGTCAAACGATATGCAGTAAATGAACATGCAGTCAGTTCTGCTATGTATGATCATCCTTATAATTGGATATTCTTGGGTTGAAAATGACGTCACATGGGGGACAACGGTCTGTGTCAAGGATGGCTTTTATATTGTTAACAATATAAAAGTCGTTTTTATATTGTTTATATTGGTTTTTATAATAGTCGGAGAATCATTTACATAAGATGCGTTGACAGCCATTTTGTTTCTTTGTTGTTTCAGTTGACCTCAGTTCAATGGTTGACCCCCACTTGAGTCAAATTATGCTCAAATATCACGTGAATGATTGAGTACAGTCATTCATAGAACTATTTTTTATATTATTACAACGAGATTGTGGTAAACAAAGCACACTTGAAATGTCCCGAAGTTTATAATGACGAGTGTAAATATCCCCCAAATTCCGAGAGTTATTGAACTGTGATATATTTAAGATACTTCCAATAATACTGGACATAAAACAACATTTGACAGTTTCTGATGACCATTTGACAGTTTCTGATGACCCAATGTTTGTGCCAATGTTTATTTATCAATGACAATTACTCAGTCAGTTTCAGTTACTTATATAGGTATGGAAATAGGATATTTATCTCTATATTCAGATCTAGAAAAAGTGTTCCTCTGACCCTGAATTTGCCTTTTTCAAATGTTCATAAAAAATGCGTAAAAGCAATGGAAAATTTGACCGTACACAACACGTCATCATGTAACCAACAACAAAGTATACTTCACTGCATTTATGTTACATGTCTCAAATGACAGATGAGAAGGAAGTATGATAAAATGATTTCTTAAGACTCTCACATAAATATGTGTGAAAACTTGAAGATGTTCCTCAATGTTTCTTAGGATCTATATAGGATCTCGAAATATCACTTTTTCCAAGTCGGTCTGTGTATGTTAATAAGCATTGTCATTATACTTACGTATCTGATAGGTGTAGGTCCAGGCATACCAGGCGGTCCTTGGAAACCCGGCGAACCGGGAGGACCTGCCATACCACTTCCTCCAATCAAACCAGGGGGACCAGGTAAACCTGGGGATCCAGGCTGACCATCAAGACCAGAAGGACCTTGAAGACCCGGAGGTCCGGACATTCCTGCTTCACCAGGCATACCCGGAACACCTGGATCACCGTGCTCACCAGGCGGACCTTGTAAACCTGGAGGTCCAGACATCCCAGAGATTCCATCTCGTCCAGGAGGTCCTTGAAGACCTTTTAAGATGAAACCCAACGTAACATTTTGATCTTTTAATAATTTGTTTAGCAATGGAGGTACGGCTGATACTGGAACGGACGTCTATAAAGGAATGAATGAAAAGTCAGAAACAAATATGCAACTCCTATTTAAATTGATAAAAAAATTTTGCACTGAAAAAAAAACCCAACTAACAAATTATATCTATTATTCATCACACTGGCAAGTGGATTTCGATGGGGGATGATATAGTAGCACTATATCTACCAATGAAACGAAAAGAAGAAATGAAGATCTGCCTACGAAAGACGTTTGTTTTTTGAATAGCGAAAGAGTACACTTATCATTGAGTTGTCTAAAATAACTATGTCAAACAAGGAATTACTTCACAATATGCTGACCTCTGAAGACAGTAAAATAGCTAGGAACATATAAATGTCAAAAGACATGATAAACGAAAGAGTGAACTAAATCACAGGCTTGTAATTGCCCACTACCGCTAACGCTTTATAAACTTGGAGTGAAATCAAGCGTGACGCTTAAAACTTTGTAAAACTTCGATCTTTTATTTTATAATATCTTAGAGTTTTTATACAAATGTCTCACGACTGAATGTGGAATAAGATCCAAATTAATAAAGCAAGAATCTTTG